TAAAAGAAAAAAAGTAAATTAGCTGGGCGTGGTGGCACATATCTGTAATCCCAGTACTCAGGAGACTGTGGCAGGAGGATCATCATGAATTTTACGTCTGTCTTGGCTACACAGTAAGTTAGAGACCAGCCTAAACTACATAGTAAGATCCTGTCTCAAAACAAACCAATCAGGGGCCGGGGAGATGGCTCAGTAGAATAAGCACTTCCCTAGCAAGTGCAAGGGCCTGAGTTCAATCCCCGGTTCTGCAAACAAACAAACAAACAAAAAAAAAAAACCCAAACCAACCAACCCACCCACCTAAAAAAGTAAATTATATAATAATTTTACAACTCTGGGATCCAGGAAAGACAGATCACATTATCTCTGTCATAGACAACCTGGTCCAGAACTAGAGAGGGTAAGTGGACCCTTTGCCTAGGGCCTCCTGATCTGAGTCAAGGCCTGTGGGAGGTTCCAGACGCTGGCACCTTTTGGCAAACAAATCTTCTAGAGGCCACCTGGTCTTCTCGAAGCTAAGTCTTCAGCAGGAACCTCAGACAGAGACCCTAGCCAAGAGCCTGTACACTCACAGAGGCCTAGGGTAGGCCTGGGCTCTTTCTGTACAATTTCCTTTTTTCCTACATTCCAGTCTACTTCCATAATGCACAACCTTACCTCTCGAATGCAACTACTTTCTGTACAGTGTACCCCTTTTGTACTGGCAATGAGGACACGCTCCCAGGACAACTATAAACCTATACTATGAACTATAAAATTCTTTTCTCTCATTTCATGATGACCCTAGAAATGATACCCAGTAGCATGAACATATTTTGCCCTGGATCTTGGTTTCTAAATATCAACTACAAAAAGAAGCCAGGGATTCTGGAGAAACTGATGATTCTAGAACTTTGACCTCAGGTGGGCCCTGGAACTTTCCAAATACCAAAGAAGTAACCACTGCCTAACAAGTCATGTCAAAAGAAGGTAATAATTGGTCTGAAGGACAAATTTAGAAAGATTTGAGTATGAAAATGAGTAATAATAGGGCTGGGGATGTAGCTCAGTGGCAGAGCACTGGCCCAGCATGTGTGAAGCCCTGGATTCAAACTCCAGCACTGGGGAAAAAAAAAGATAATTAAAAATAGTGGTCAGGGCTGGCAAGATAGCTCAGCAGAATAAGCACCTGCCTAGCAAGCACAGGGACCAGGTTTGATGTCTAGCACCACAGGCTGCACTGACTCCACCCCTGGGCGCACTGGGCCAGCCACCAAGGCCAGGCATGGTGGTATGCCTATAATCCCAGCACTGGGGAGGCTGACACAGGAGGATTACTATGAGTCTGAGCTGTGTAGTGAGAACCTGTACCAAATACACACACACACACACACACACACAATAGTGGTCCATAATGTTACTGAAAAAGAACGAACGGGAGAGGGAAAAGAAGAACAAAAGTGTATTCTATAAAGAAAAGCACCAAGTAATAAATACAGGAGGAACAGCAGAATTAGAAAACTGCCGTCTTGTAACCCTCAGTATAGTCTAGTAATTCAACCAACGATCACCACTGGATACAGCATGGGAGGTAATCAAGAATACACAATTCTCATACTGACAAAGAATCACTCCACAGACTTATTGGGAAATTTTACTCATACAATGGAGACATCAAGTTGCTATAAATTTTATTAATTCACTTAGGTACTGGGGATTGAACTCAGAGCCTTTGCACTGAGCTGTAACTTCAGCAGTTTTGGAATTTGAGACAGGGTCTTACTAAATTGCCCAAGTGAGGCTCAAACTTGCAATTTTCCCTTAGTCTCTCAAGGTGCTGGGATTACAGGAGCGCACCATTCCACCTAGACAGCGTGTAGCAATTGTAACAAGCAATCGATTGGGGCATTCAGGGACGGCAGGACCCTGATAATGACATGTCCTGGGGTGTGGTGCAATGGTCAGTATACTTTGGGGTGGGAGGGGGGTCCCAGGCAAACAAAGGAGCCTCAACAATGTTAGAACATCATTGCAGCATCAAACACTCTAGCGTAGGTGGCGGGGCTCCATTTAGACTGAATGAGTTGTTCAAATAGATATACTCAAACACAATGTGAATCTTAACTGGCTATGATTTAAAAACTCACAAACTATAAAAGATATTTTGGGGCAACTGGAAACATTTTAATATCAAGTGCTTATTAAGTAATACTAACTGCTACTTGTATTTCTGAGGTAGAATAACAGTATTAGTTATATAAGAGAATATCAGCATTAAGATATGCATGTATATTGCTATTATACTGAAGAATTTAGGGTTTCAGTATCAAGATATCAGTACCTTACTTCTTCGGGGGGAGGAGACAAGGTCTTGCTAGGTTACCCAGGTTGATGTGGAACTCCTGGGCTCAACTAATCCTCCTGACTCAGCCTACTGAGCAGCTGGGAATATGGACATGCACCACCGTGCCTGGCTTGTACTTTTCAAACTATCTTTATTTCAAAGGAAGAGGAAAGGAAGGGATATTTCTTTCACAGAACCATAGATATAAAGTTCTAGCCATATGCCAGAACCCAATAAACTTCCAGTTGCAGATCTGTTGTAACAATACTACTAAAGTTACTAACAGTTCACAATTTTCTTCACAGGCCGCTGTGTTTTGCAGGGTAAGGAGCACCAGGGCAAAGCTAGGAGAAATTTAGAATTTAAGACTGGGTGGTCTCTCTAGGTAGACTCACCACCTGCAGAAGGCACATGGGTCAGCCTGCCTGTTTTTCAAACCAGGATCCACGCCGAGGGAAGATGGCTGCACTGGCTTTGTTCCTTCAGCCCCTCCTGAACCTTGAGTCTCAGCCACCGCGGCAGGAAGGACATTGCTGCGGTGTTCAGTGAGGGTGCTCACAGTGAAGGCCGCTTCTGGGCCTGAGAAATGTTAGGATGGGTAGAGAGAACCTGAGCATCAGAGGGTGGTACATGGTCTGGGCCTGAGCCAGCATCTGAATCAGGCTCCACTACTCACTTGCTGTGCGGCCCCATGCCAATCCCTGGGCAGACAATCACGGCTGCAGCAGCAACAAAGACAGTTTGTTGAGCAGTTACTACTGTGTCAGATACTTTAACCACATTAGTTTCACAGATGAAGCAGACGGTACTCTACCCCTACTTTATAGAACAGCCATGCCAGGCCCACTCCCACCTCTGCAATTTGACATCTGCTATCATCTCTGCCAGAGCCTGAATGAAAATTTCATTCGTTTGCCTGGCCTCTCAGTTGGAATTCATCCACCCTTTCCAATTTATTTGCTGCATGTTTCATTCTTACTTCTTACCACAGCCAACTAACTGGCCTTCCTGTTAGGGCCAGGCATGAGGCTCTCTATCCCCAAATTTCTTTCTTTTGGTCTGATTCATTTTCTCCCACCCTAGACTGTCATCTACTATTACGATGATTTGTTATCCTCTTAGGTTCTTAAATTTTTTTATTTTCAAATACTGTCTTGAATTTTCGACTTGGAGCCTAAGTCATGGCATAAGGTGATCGCCTGAAGTAACAAGGGAAGGTGCACAGCAGGTGGGTAAATTTCAAGGACACCGCCCATGTTTAGTGAATAATGCTGTCTCCCAAGAGTCTGGAGGCATCTTCACCTTATTCAGTTGCCCAACAGGAGAAGGGTTTGGTTCCAGCTCTGGGGGGCTACCTGGGCACTTTCCTTCCACCTCCCTATGACCACCAGCGGTTTCTCTAGGACCCTCTTGCCCAGTTCCTATCTTTAAGAAGCCCACAGGCTGTACTATCACCCCACAACCCTCGGCATAGGAAAGAACCTGGGTGTTTCCTTGATGCGGTTGACAGATGGGACCCTGGCAATCTATGAGGACAAAGCGGGAGGCAGTCTGAGGAAGAAAGCCTACTGACTTTCTATCCAGGCAGCAAGAGCATCTTTTCACCTGATGCACGCTGACTGCCTTTCTTGGCCAGAATTTCCCTTTCCCCTTAGCTCAGTCTCTGCTTCATCTCACGACATTCCTCAGGCACAGCACCTCGCATCAACCATGCTCCGCCCATGTCCTTCCTGCTCTTCCCAACAACGATACACTTGAGCTTTCAAGTCCTTTTGCCCGTGTAATAACACAGAAGGGTTGCCTTGCAGCACAGTGTTCAGAAGAGCTAAGGGAACTGGTCTTTCTACACAACTCACAAAGGGCAGGACACCCATTCTTGTTCTGTTATTTTGAAAGAGTCCAGAGTGGCCTTAAACGCTATGCAACCCAGGCTGGCCTCCAACTCGCGATCCTCCTGCCTCGGCTGGGAAGACAGGCGCGCACCACCACGGCCATCAGGTTAGGCACCGACTCTGCTGCTCCTCCCTGCACTCCAGATGAACCTCTGCCCCCCCAGAGCGCAGGCCAGCCAGCGTCTTTGGGGCACAGTCCTGCGTGGTGCGGAGCGCGCACCTCACCTGCGAGCAGACATGGCGACGCCTGTACTTTACAGGGCATGAGATGCAAGGACCCCCGGTGCGACACTCGGGGCTCAGGGCCGGCCGCTTCCACTGGCAGGACGGCGCAGCGCAGCCACGGGCCCGCACCCACACCGCACCAGGGGCGCAAGGCGGGCGCTCCAGGGCGGGGAGGGCGCCCCTCCGCCCAGGACAACTTGCTCAACCCTGGAACAGCCAGCACCCGGACCCGAACCCCGTGCGCCCTTCTCACCTAGGTACGCGCCCCGCGCGCTCCACCCGCCGGACCCCGCCCCCAGTTCCAGCTCTCCGGATCCCGGATTTTCCCACCACCGCCTCCGCCTGGCTCCGCCCCTAGCCCCGCCCTTTCACGGCTCGGCCTTTTCTCATCCCCCGCCCCCGCAGCTACGGGGATGGCCATTCCCACTTCACAGATGGGAACGGCGAGGCTAGGGCAGATGACCTTCCACGTCAGGACAGATGCCCGGATGGGCGCGCGTCCCCTCACCGCTCGGTCTCGAGCCCCCCGCCCCCTCCCACCCGGGCATCGCCGCACCCACCTGCGGCCGTCGTTCCTGGCAGCCTCCCCTCCGCAGGCGACCAGCGCAGCTTTGCGAGGGGGCGGAGGACCGAAGCCCGGCCCAGGGGCGTGGTGGCCCGGGGCTGCGCGCTGCATTCTGGGACCTGTAGTTTTCTGGAGACTTTTACGCAGCTTGGCACGCTAAAGGCGAACCCCACCTCCCAGGAAGCATTGCGGAGGGCGCCTTGCTACCGCCCCGCCCCAGCCGGCGCGCAGGCCAGCTGGTCTTAAAGGAGACGCGGTCCGGGCGAAGGCTCACGGGGTGGCCCCCGCTCCGGCTCCGCCCCGTTCCCCGCACCTCATCCCTCCCCCCGCTTCATCCCGCAGTCCTGCAGCCCAAGCCGCAGAATCAGGATCCTTGGGTTCATATAGGCTTGTGCAGAGCTGGGTGGGAAGATTACACTCTGCACTAGAAGCAGCGTCCCCGTGGTCTGGGACCTGGTGGAGAGCGACCCCACCCTGGGGGGAACAGTGGACCCGCCCTGACCTAGCCCGGCCCAGCCTAGTCCTGCTGGGCCTAAGCGCCCCGCCCAGGAGCCGGCTCCGAAGTGGGCACCACTGAGGTCTGAGAGGTAAGGGGGGTGGGATGAGTAGAGGTTTTGTAGGTGTCGCACTTTGGTTTTTCAAGAACCCCGGACTTGCCTGTAGGGCTCTAAAGTCAGGGGCCGGTAGGCAGGAGGTCTGAATGCACCTTGGGCACTGCTGTGTGACCTTGGGTGAGTAGCTACCCCTCTCTGGGCCTCAGCCTTTTTTATCAATTGTATGTGGAGGTCCAGCGCCTGCCTCCTTCATGGCTGAGAGCACCGCCGGCCCTTGGGGGAGGGGAGCTCAGCCTGGGCTGGGCACAAGAGGGAGGGGCCGACCTGAGGTACAGATTGCTTGGCTTGTGCTATAAAACCTTTGGGGTACTTGCAAAGGCCCTTCCAAATTGGAGACCTGGTGTATCAGCTTGGTGTCCTCCCTTCTAGAAAGCCTGGGAGAGGCGTTGGGGCTCAGGCAGCCCAGTTTCAAGGGGTGGCCCCCAGGATGATGTGTACCTGAGGACGGACAGCTTCCTCTCCCCTATTTCCCTTCCGTGGTCGGAGCTTCCCCTTTCCAGCAAAATCGTTTGTCTTCTTTCCAGGAGGCACTTTGGTGGCCTAGACCAGGGCCTCCCAGGACAGGGTGAAGGATGCCTTCCCAGGGCTGCTAAAAGAAGTTCAGTTAAAAATACTGTGGAAAGAGGCCCCGGCGCATGCTCGTGACCGCATCCTGTGGTCCCAGCCCTGGGGAAGATGAGGCAGGAGGATTGTTTGCTCTATGTAGCTATTTTGAAGTCTGCCTGAGCTACAAAGACCCTGTTTCAAAACAAAAAAGACAAAAAAACCCAAACACACACCAAAAAATAGTAACATCCTGGGGGGGTGCTGTTGCCAGAGCCCTAGAAGGATGGAGGAAGAGGGCGATTTTTGGTGTGGGGGACAGCTGGTGCCCTCCAGTATCCCTGGGACCCAGGGAGGCAGAGGAAGAGGCTGGGTGTGAGGCCCAGAGGTACTGGGAGGCTGCCGGGTCCTGGGGACCAGAACATCCGGGAGCTTTGTGAAGTCCTCTGCCTGGTGGGAAAACCTGGAGGGTTAACCAGGAATGGGTTTTTTGTTTTCCTTTTTTCCCCCTCTACATTTGTTGTTTGAATCTTTTCTAGAATGGCTATGCTTCTTAGTCCCATCAGTGACCCCTGTAGGAGATTTCTGGGCTGATATTTAAGATTTTCAGGGTCATGGATATGCAAGGCCTGGTGTGAGGAGGGTGGGGGGGTGGGGGGTGGGGTGGCCACTGGACCTGGAAGGTACTTTTCTGGTCACATCTGGCTTTTTCTCATCTGTCCTCACGTCTCTCTCCTTAGTCCATACCACACTTTCATGGACATTTCTGTGCTTGGCCCTGCCCGGGCACTGGGCAGAGGGGTACTGGACCTGCCACCCCCCAAGAGAGAGATGGGCATGGAGTCGTTGTGGAGATGCAAATGAATGGAAGAAGCAAAGCAGGACTGGGAGGCCAGCGCTTGGAGGCCTGAGTTACAGAGGACCAAGGAAAGGGCTTCCCGAGGAGGCTGGCAAGCTGGGGGGGGGGGGGCAGGAAAACCTCCCAGTGGGCATCGAGGAAAGTCCTCTGCCCACGTTCCCACTCAACACAGCCAGCTTCACCCCACCCCTGCCCACATCAGCTTTGTGTCAGGCACAGCGCCCTCGAGTCAGGTTCAGGATCAGGGCCCTCACCCTGGAGGGGTGGGGCAGCCTTGGGAAGCCTGAGCCAGGCTGCTGCTGGAGCTTGTCAGGTAATAAACAAGTGGTGGGTTGGAGAGACAGTGGACACACGGACACACACACACACACACAGTGCTTGGGAGTGATGTTGATGAGTCAGGCTCCACTATGCAGGAGCTGGAATCTGTCAGCACAGCAAGTGCCAAGGGTCATGGGTGGCAGATGTTGTTCTCCATTCTGGAGTTTGGAAGCTCAAAGAGGTGGCCTTGGCCTCCCCAGGGGGTCGCAGCGCAGCTGTATTCAAAGCCTGACTCTGCTTCTAGCATGCTTGCCCATGTTGCAGATGGCTAGTCCAGCAGGCAGGGAAGAGGAACAGGTCTTGGGTGCTTCCGCAGCTCTGGTGGGACTGAGAGGGTGCAAGACCTCGGGGTGCGAGTTCTTTGGCGTTGGAGAGACAGGCCACAGTGTGTGTCTCCTTCTTCCTGATTCATCCCTCAGTGCCAAATGGCCTAGCAGACTCAGGACTGCCCCAGCCCTCTGTTTTAAAATATGTTGTCCTGGCTGTGTGAGTGCAGGCCCAGAACTGCCCCCATTTTCCAAGTGAGAAGGCTGAGAAGCCAAGCAGACACTCACCCAAGGTTACCTGGTGATTCTGAAGTGAGAATCTGGATTTCAAGCTTTTAAGAAGCGCTCTTGTGAGGGGAGGGCTGCTGTTGGCAACTGCGTTTGGCGTGGGGCAGCTGCCTCCTGGGCTGAAGCCAGCGTGGGCACGCTGTCTTCATCCGGGGAAATCCAGCCCCCCAGGAGGAACCTGGGCTGCTGCTTGCTCCACAGGAGTGCACGCTCTGATCCTGCAGTGCGGAGAAGGCCTTGTTCCTGCTGAAAGGACAGCAGATCAAGTCCTGCCTGGTTTCTCCAGCCTGCGGTTTGGGCAAGTGAAGCCGAAGCCTCTGAAACCCTTTTGCTGAGTGCATTCAGGATGATATCGAGTGGGTTTGTTGGTGACCATGGTGACGGCTGCCCACGTAGAAGGAGGGCAGGTAGGCAGGGCTTGTGCTGTGTGGCCAGGCCCAGGCGGAGCAGGGCTGCAGGGCCAGCCTTGGAGTGAGCCTCACTGCTGGCACAGCCCTCCCAGGGTGGCAGACAGTAGGTGGGGCGGCATGAAATTGCCAGCATCAGAGCGCTCAGTGTCATTTGGCTTGCCCTGGTGTCCTTTGTCCCCATTTTACAAGAGAGAAGAGGACTGGGGATGTGCCTTCCTTAAGGTCACACAATTAATTCAACTAAAATGCAGGCTCCGTTCCCCTGATTTGCCTTCCTCGGCTTTTCCTGGCCCCAGAACGCCTCCTCCAGCTGCAGTGTGTCATCCACTGGGGTCTCTCTTAACTGCCCACATGTCTGGATTTCTTGGCCACCTGGCTTACAAGTGTGTGAAGTCCCCTAGGCTTCAGGGCAGGGGGAGGCCACCCTGGGGTCTGAAGAGGAAGGACCATGTCTTATAAGGGAGGGTGGGCACTGCCCAAGAAAGGGGATTGGGGCCAAGGGAGACCAAGGGCTTCATTTTTGTTTTGACAGTGCTGGGATGGAAGCTGGGACCCCGTGCATGCAAGGCAGGTGCCCTGCCCATGTCACGTCCTAGGTGTGGGAGGCTGGTTTTAGTCACTTCAGAAGCCTTTTGAGCTCATGCTGTGGTGGCCTTCACCACCAGACTGGATGCCACAGAAGGGGCATCTTCTGAGGACTTCTGTGGGCCCAGTAGTGTGCTAAAGGCTTATGTTTGTCTTCACAACTCGGCAAGGTGGGACTAGAGGTTCAGGGGGCATAAGTGATCTCCATGATAACCAGAATCTCCGTGATAACATAAGCCCCCCTCTGAGGCCTAGAGAGCTGAATTGAGCACGTTGTTCTCCCCACTTTTTGGCCAGGAACTCTGGGACTGGACTCAGTATCAAACTTCCTTTCCCATCTAAGATGAAGGCTTTACAGAATATAAATATAAATATAAATATATATAATCGAAAGGTGGGTTTCATATAACGAAATGTAAAAGTAGAAGCCAAGGGACAAAACAAGCTACAAACTAAGCAGTTGACTTAAGAAACAGAGGTGGGGGCAGCCAAATAGCTCAGCAGATTAAAGCGCCTACAAGCAGGCTCAGGGGCTGGGGGTTCGATCCCTGGGCATGCAGTGCCGGCCCTGCCCTGATCTAATAGTGAGACCCTGAGCACCCTGTAGACCCTTCCCTAAAATACAAAATAAAATAAAAAAGAAATGGAGGGGCTGGGATGTAGCTCAGTGAGAGAACAGGAAGGCACGAGGTCCCGGGTTTGATCCCTGGCACCCCCCAAACAAACCAACAAACCTATAGTGAGCTGTTGAGGTCCCCTGAGCTTTTAATTTTTGTTTTGAGTCAGGGTCTCACTGTGCAGCCCAGGCTGGTCTTGAACTTGCTTATGTTGCTCAGACTGGCTTCCAACTCACTGCAGTCCTGCCTCAGCCTCCTAAGTGCTGGGGTTATCATATGTGCCACCACACCTGGCTCCTGAGGTCACCTGGACTTTTAACAAGCGCCCAGGTGATTCTGAGGTAGCCCAGCCAGCATGGCTCCACCCTCTCTAAGCAGTGAGCTCTTCTGAGGGACCCCCTCTTGGCCTGAGATGCTGGTCACCGAGAAACAAGCCTGGATTCCCTCCCAAGGCACTTATAGCCCCCTCAGACCAGACATTTTTGGACCTGCCACAGTAAAAAACTAGGACAGACAAGGGAGCATCTGTGTGGGGCCTGACACCTAGTTG